TTCTCAAGAGAGAAAGGAAGGAAAAATTTTTTCTCTAAAAATTCCACATCGTGCATGTGATGGTGTTTGTGGAAATTCGAGTGTTTATTGTAACCCGTTTTGTCTCATGTGTGCCCACACACACGTCTTCGTGGATTCTAGGAATTGATGTGGAAGACATTGGTTTTCTAAACACAAAGATTGGAGCAAGGACTGTTTGTGGTCAAAGAACTCAAGTTATCATCCGAGTCGGCTTCCAGGTATTTTTCCTGATTGAGTTCTTGATATATATAAGTTAATGAGATTAATTTATTCGTGCATAAATTAATATAATCTATAGAGTATCTCAAAAGTTTTATGAAAATTTTTGTTATACACGATCCGCCTCTTCCCCGCACCACCGCGCTTCCGCATCCAGATTCGATCCGGAGACCAACACATTTGGTGTGTGGAATGCCAGGTTTCATATTCTGAAAAGCATTAACCGTTATCCAATGCTCAAACAAGTTAAGATTCCAATTGCATGTGCTATAGTACATAATTTTATCCACATGTACCATAACAATAACCCCCTATTGGAGTAATACTCACAAGATGGAGTTTTAGTCGCCGATATTGATCCCCAGAATGTGAAAGAGGACATCAACGATAATAACAATCATGAGAGACAACTATTGAATTACAATACGAGAGTGAGGATGAATGCCTTGAGGGATAAAAGGGCGCAGACGATGTGAGCAGTTTACCGAAGCCGTCGTAGGCGCTAACAAGTTTTGTTTATAAGACGTTTCTATACTACGAATTGATATTACGATGTGTTTGTAATGACTTATGTTATAAATAATGATTTTTATTGTTTTGCTTTTTTTTTTTTTGTTCTATTATTATGGAAACTGACCTTTTTGTTTTTTTATTTTTATGGAAACTTATCCTTTTTTTAAAAAAAAAAAAAGCCATTCGTTTTTATAAGTTGTTGCTAGTTTAGTTTTCAAAATTTCATTTAATTAAAAAATGATAAACAATTATCTCGGTACAATATTAATGACTTATTAGAGGGACATACGCATATTTTAATGAAAATTGATCTTTTTTTTTATTTCATTTTATGCAGTTTAGCTTTATTTATAGTTTCTTTTATTATTTACATATAGTAAGTTGTATAAATTATACACGATTACGTAAAAGTATTTACTACGTAGTGAGAATATAATTCCAATTACCCATCTTTGTATATGATTCACTTTTATTTGTATACTAGTTATTAGCACGCGCTACGCGTGCATTTTTTTTGCATATTTTAGGTATAAAAATCTTTACATTTCTTCTAAATAGAAAAAAATGAAAAATAAAAGATGTAAATAGAAAAGGAGGGCAAAAAAATTAAAATAAAAGGTGAAAAGGTAGAGAGAAAAGAGAAAGAGGATATCCGTAAAAAATGGATTATTTTTCTTAAAAAAGAATCATTATATATATATATATATATGTTGAAGATATGTACATAGCAATAAATTTGAGCGGATTTTATTAAAAAAATATTTAAATAGAGACATATATGAAAAAAAAAATTATTTTAAGAGGATAATTAGGAAAATAAATATTTTTGAGAATCATAAGAAAGAGAGGAAAAAATGATATAATAATAGAAAAAGACGGAAAAAAAATAAAAATAAGAGTCACAGAGAGATTAGTGATTTATTTAAAGAGAGAAAAAAATGATAAAATAATTAAAAAAATGAAAAAAAAAATAAAAATAAGAGTCACAAAGAGATTAGTGATTTATTTAATTTGTTAATTTAAATTTTTAATTTAAATTTAATTTTAATTTTATGTGAAATTTTTTTATTAAAATAAAAAAAATTAAATAAATTTTTTATTTTAATAAAATTTAAATTATAAATTTAAATCGATAAAATAAATGTAAATTTTATTTCTATCCCCGTCCCGATTAGAGTGGGACCCCGTCCCCGTGAGATTATCGCCATCCTACCGCGGAAGGTTGGCACGGAGCGGGAGCCAGGGAGGAGCCCGAACTACCCTCCTTCAGAACATGGTTGCCTTAGCCTCTGGCTCGTCCGTCACTTTGACTGTCTTTGACCATCTTCCCGTCAACATCCCATTCCCATTCCCAAGAATCCATAATTTCCTTCATTTCTCTTCACCATATCCCAAAGCCAAAACTCCCACCTCTCTCCTCTCCCACGCCCGCACAAATTTCGTCACACACTCTCCTTCTACTTCAACGACCTCACCTCTCGGGCCTCACCGGCGTCGTCTGACGTCAGCTCCACCGTCGGCAGCCATGTTCTCCCAAAACGCCGTCGTGTCCGACATCTTCGCCGCCGCCTTCACTGCTTGCGTCGCTCTCTCCCTTCTTCGAGTGTGGGGAGAGACCGCCAAACGCGGCCTCTTCGACCAGGTGAGAAGCTGTTCTCGCTCTTCACGTATTCGATAAAGGTCGGTTTTTGCGGAATAATGTCTGGGGTTTGATTGATTTGCGTGAGAAAAATCTGTGCTTTTGGAGTTTGTTGAAAGTTTCGAGCTTTGTTAAGTCGATGAAAACAAGAACTTGAAAATTACAGGAAATTAGTTTCTTTTTCCTTTTATGGAAATTACACTAAATAGTCTAAAATGAGCTTCGGATTTGTAATTAGAAATCACATCCTGACTTTTGTGATGAAGAACGGAGATGCCAAGTTTGCTACTAAGATTAGCGTAATTCTGCTCCTCCGTGTGTAAAGGCAGTTTATTTATATATTTTGTTTTTTACAATTTTTCTCTTTTCCATTGCTACTTGCTAGCTATGTATATAATTGAGGGCCGATCTAATTGCTTAATCTTGATTTGCAATAATTGATCCGTGGTTATGAATTTCGGCCGTTGACTTTACTGAGAACCCATATATCTTTTTAACTCTCTGAAACAGCACTTTATGCTTATACTCTAATTTTGTGTCTTCATCCATGGAAAAAGGGGAAGGTAAAATGAAAAATATCCTCCCAACATTGTAGTAAATTCTTATCAAATTCAGATCATGGGCTTGTACCTATTTATTTCGTCTCGATTACTAAACGATTTTTGCTGATTTGATGGTCAATGCGAATTGGGTTTTCAGTTTTTTGTTGGGAAGAATGTAGGTCTCGTTCATTTCACCGATTCGAGTTTTCAGTTTTGGGTTTTTACAGTAAAAAGCTCTAAGAAAATATCACATTTAACTTTTTTACTACAGTAAAAAGCTCTCAGAAAATGTCACATCTTAACTTGAATCCGCAAAGTGAACGAGGCCGTAGTATATGTCTTGAGGTGCTTTTTCTTAACTGTATTTTCATTTAGGATTCTTATTTGTTTTTCTTCCATTGTCTAGAAACTAAACAGGAAGCTTGTGCATATAAGCGTTGGCCTAGTTTTCATGCTTTGCTGGCCGCTATTCAGGTAATCATCTCTTGACTGTAAAGGTTTTCAATGACTGCAATCTGTTTGTTTCTGATTCTATTGCACTACAGTCCTGGATCTCGGGGAGCATTTTTAGCGGCGTCTGTTCCAGGAGTCAATATCATACGGATGCTTCTCTTGGGACTTGGAATATGGAAAGATGAGGCTACTGTGAAATCGATGAGCAGATTTGGGGACTACAGGTTAGAAAGTTGAAAGAACTTTTAGTTGAATATTTGCTTGTGGGAAATGTATTGTATTGATCTATGCAGGTGTGTCTTTTTCTCACTTGGTTCCACACGGGCACTTACTGCCATTTTGTGACGGGAAATAACTCAAATACACGATCTAGTTCTCACAGTGAGTTAATATGACCAAGCCCCATGATATTGTTTCGTCTACTGTTCCAAATAAAAATAAAAAACTAGCTAGATTCTGCTTGAGAACCATAATTTTTAGAAAGTGAGCCTCCTACAAGCAGAGACTAAGAACTTAACCTTGTTTTGTATTTATTTGATCAAGTATTTGTCTATTCTCTTTTCACACACGATATCTTAATTTGTCTATAGCTTACTGCGTGCATCAGGGAGCTTCTCAAGGGGCCATTATACTATGCTACAACGATTACACTCGCCTGTATAATCTATTGGCGAACTTCCCTGATCTCTATTGCGGCAATATGCAACCTATGTGCTGGCGATGGTATTTACAAAAGATCTTTATTTTTATTGAACTTTTAGCTTGTCTTGTCAAAATTTTAACCATTGAAGAAAATTATCGAATACCCATCTGAGACTTCTTCTGTGCATTTTTATTCTTGGTAATTGGTATTATTCAGACTTCATACACTTAATTGATTCTTTGGTGGCCCGATACAGGTTCAGCGGACATTATAGGAAGGCGATTTGGTAACAGAAAACTTCCATACAACAGAAGCAAATCTATAGCCGGTAGTATTGCAATGGCATCTGGTGGTTTCTTGGCATCCGTCGGGTAATGCTTCCTACACCCCTCCTTTTTTAAACCTCCCTTTTCAGCTGGATAACACACCAATAAAGCATCTTCATAATCAAGTGTGTTTGCTAACGTTTAAAAATATTATGGCAGGTATATGTACTATTTCTCCTCATTTGGATTTGTGGAAGTAAGTTGGGAAAAGGTGCTTGGATTTTTCATTGTTTCTCTTGCCACAACGCTGGTGGAATCGCTCCCAATAAGCACTGAACTCGATGACAACCTCACAGTTCCGGTGTCATCTATCCTGGTGGGAAGTCTTGTTTTCTGATATCAGGAATCCTTGTAAACTGTGCTGATGGGCAATGCAAGAATTACGAAGATGGGTTGGGACCAATCTTTTGGCGTGGATGTATCTTATCTAAATTCCCAAACTACTTGTTTGTTCGACTCTTTCTACCAGTAGTTACTCCTCTGTTGTTCCTTGTAAAAGAAAAGCAAAAATATATATATATATATATATATATATTGCAACTTGGGCAGTCATTCCCTTAATATAGATCAAAATATTAATTATTTTGGGACCAATCTCTTGCTGTACCTTTATGGATAACGTGATTAGAGGCGTTCCTCCCTGTTTTGTTGGAAAGCAGGAATGAATGGCACTGGTTTACAATCATGGTCGGTTCATCGTTCAAGAACCATTTTTCGCTGTCGGAAAACTATTCCAACGAATGACAGAAAACAAGACAAAGGAAACGATTTCGTCATGCAACGTCTCCGAGACATAACAAGTAGTCTCATACAGAGGATGTAATACCAGAGACCTTTCTTCTTATTTTGCTTGAAGACGAAGTTTTGAACATAACACAATCAAAGTCTGCAGCATCTAGTCTATGCTCAGGATTAGGATTTGGAAACGCATAGATAATGATCCGAGGATGGGACTCAGCTCATAGCCACAGGCAAGAGATATACAAGACCAAAGAGTTGGTATACAAATTAAAGTAGCACTCAAACCAATTCTCACGCATCGGAACTTACCAGCAAAGCCAATAGCAAGTACTTTGGCCAAATTAAGAAAACTCATCGATCAAAATGCTTTTCTTTCCTACAGCTGAGACGGGAACTTTGTAGCGGTGTCATCATTATTGCTCCGCGGCGAAACTTCCGTAGCATCATGACTACTGTCCTCGCCGTTTCCAGCCTGTTTCCTCAATCTCCTAACGCAGGGAAACACCGTGACAAAGCAAATGAAGACGGAGAAGACCGCGAAGAGAGCGATCATCATGATCTCACCGTGGAAGGCGTACCGCCTGTCCTTCAAGAACTGGAGCTCCTCTTGCTGCCGCGCTTGCGGCGTGGCAGGCGCCATGGCCGGAACCAAAGTACTCATCTCCACCTGTTGGCTCATCAAAGTGCATATGACAAAATGATGTTTTGTCGTCATATGACCTCAAATCTAAATGACACGACAAGGGTCCGGAAATTCTGTGGTAGCTTAGCTGTGTGCCAAGTTATGTAAGTAATAAGAACAAGCCTTGCAACAAAGTAACTGAATAGAAGCATCAGAGTGGTAGCCTTGTTAATCGTGTGGCTAAGGATGGAGAAGCTAGAGGAGTGAGCTCCGTTAATTCTATCTAACCTTTTGTGCTTGTGGGGTACTTGATCCGGAGGAAACTTTTTAGTCACGAAGCTAAAAGGAAAAGAAATAAACACAAGTGAAAAGAAATAAATACAAGTGAATAAAAACCTATCTTATCCTTAACGTACATTTTTCTTTATTACATGATCATTATCATCATAAAAGGTGTTTTTTTTTTCTCCTTTTTTTTTAATAACATCTAAACAGCCGTCCATCAAAACCGAAACAGTTATGTAAAGTATGGAGTTTTTTTTTTTCTTGGTTTTTTTTTTTTTTTTTTTTGGTTTTTTTCTTGATGCATTGTTACCTTATAAACGTCCAAACAGCAGTTCAACTCTTCATTTTTCTCAATAAAATTATAACAAATTCGTGTTCAGCCAATATTTATTGGAGAATCTTACCATCGATGGATAGGTTTTTGTTTTAAACCATAGATATTTATGAATATTTCATATATATTTTTTATTTTAATGTGATTTTAATCGTATATAATTTTTAAAAACATGCACTAAGGATCAATGCTACTAAAGTCATGCACTTATTAGCATTATTCTGCCAATTGACACTAATTAATTATTTTTTGAATTGATCAATTTGCTCCTTTATCCCTTTTGTAAATTGGAATCCAGATCCATTATCCCTATTTTTATCTCCTCTTAATTGTTCTTCCAATAATTAGCTATCAAGTTATAAATATAACCACTTTCCAATAATTAGTTACCAATTTACATAAATATAACCACTTTGCCAAATGAACAGAAACCAAAATACTGAAAATACTTGAACATAATAGGCGTTAAAAAATTGATTGAACGGACAATCAAGGGATATAAAAATGGAACATCAAATGCAAACTACGAAGCATAAACACATACAAAACGAAGAGATTATTTGAGACCAAAAAGAATAATGAACGCTTCTTTGAAGTGCACGATTAAGAGTGCGTTTAGTTCAAGGATTTATACTATAATTCGAATCATAATTCGTGACTCGTGAACGCTTTTTTGAAGTGCACGATTAAGAGTGTGTTTGACTCAAAGATTCGTCTTATAATTCGAATCATAATTCATAACTTATTATAATATTTTTTTTTATAAAAAATACACATAAATTAAAAATAATTTTAAATTCATCAACTAAACGTGACTATACATCTCATGAACTTGTCATAAATTAAAGAGGAGTTAATAATGGTCGTAAAGCATTTGCTTGGAGATAGAATCCCAAATACCGTTTGGTTGGATATCAGCCTCCGGTATTGAAGAGAACAAAACAAAATAGGAATAGAGACAAAGAACAAGTTGGAAAGTAGAGGACCGACGACACGCGTCCCCTATAATTATAGGACATATATTAGGTGTCTTATTCCGATTCATGATTTTGGCACGTGATGGTGACGCTTTTGAAGGAGGAGAAGTTGGACAAGATTTTTTTTTTTAATCAAATGGGAAGCTTCTGTTTTAGAATGTAAAAATTACACTAAATTGCATATTTACGATGGAATTGCAATATAATAATTTTTTTTGATATTTTAAGAGTGACATAATTATGGTTTGTTATTTTTTATGCTACAAGTCCTTAAGAATTATTATAACTATAACGACTCTTTTATTTTTAAAATATTTAGGTCATGTGTCTAAACTTTTTATAATATTTTATTTTTTAAAATTTTTTAAAACTTAATTGCTTGTAATATTTATTTTATCTTTTATGTATATCATGATTTGTTGATCATTAGAGAGGTCATTCTAGAGCACATATTTAGAAAGGGTGATTTAAGAAAATGGAAATCTATAGAAAATTCTAATGGAGAGCATAATTGTTAAAGATTATAAAAATTTTTGCCTTCAAATTATTTTTCTATATATCAACTTAGAAAAAGTAAATTTTTAAAGAAAAACGCAAAATTAAAATAGCAAGTTAAGAGGAATATTTCTTACATTTGTCTTCGTAAATTTGATTAGAGGGCCACAGACTACTAATGTTTTGTTACGCTTATATTTACTTATTAAAGAAAAACTTATATTTTTAACTGAAGTAGTTGACAAATTTCATATTTAATAAATATTATATTTAAATGATTTGTAAATCTACATCTACCTAGTGGCTGGTACATTCAATTGTTTTTATTTTGTTATTGATAAAATCGACAATTTATCAAAAGAAAAAAGAAAAAATTATTTGTTACAATTCTTCGTTTAAAGAAGGATAAAGGACAAGCGGATAGGGCATGTAAACTTCTAAAAAGAATTGAGAATTAGAGTTATTATTTCTGTCATTTTGTATATTTATTGTTCAATACGTTGACTCAATTATATCATTTTTTATTAAAATAATAATATATTATGTTAGTGGAGTCTATGTGTCAAATAGTAAATATAAAAAATGACAAAAAAATAATAAAAAGAGTGACGCTAGCATTTTTTAAAAGACTTTAGGGAAAACAGTTATAGCCTATAGGACAAATTCTTTGATAGACATTCTTTGCTATGCCACAACAAATAATCCTTCTCGAGTAGAGATGAAAATTTGGGCTACCCAACCCGACCCAACGGTCTGAATAGAAATTTTAGGCCAGTTCGGCCCGGTCTTAAAAGGAAGAGGGTCTGCCTATTGGGCCTAGCCCGCCCAGCCTAAAATTTTATAAGATATTTTCATAAAGATTTTTTAAAAAAGGGCATTTTGACTTAGACTGAATAAGCTTTATGACTCGAAACCTCGGCCCAAGCCAACAATAATGGGTCTAAGGCCGGTCTCATTTGATCCAATCCAAACTTACAGTTCTACTATCGGGTCAATAAAATGCTTGATACATATAATTTGATAGATTGATGGAAATATGCATGATTAAAAGGGCAATAAAAATAAATAGGCCAAAATTTATAATTAGTTCATAAATAGGGATGAGGTGTAAATCCAGATTTACACTAAATTAACATTCCTGAAAATACTCCTAATTAATAAAAGAAATAAAATCCTAAAATTTACTCTAGCTCTCTCTCCACACTCTCTCTACACGCTCTCTCTATCTCCTAGCTTTCTACACTGTAAATTCGAGATTTACAAATAGACACAATATGTGTCCTGATAGTAAATCCTAGATTTACTGTGTAAATCCAGGATTTACAAAGGAACATAAATTGTGTTCTAATAGTAAATCCTAGATTTACACTGTAAATTCAAGATTTACAAATAACACAATTTGTTTTCTTATGATAAATCTTGGATTTATTGTACAGTTAATCTTAGATTTACGAGCAAAATTAAAAAATATTTATCTTATATTAGTAAATTTAATATAATTCAGTGACATTAAATCATGGATTTATATGTTAAATTCAAGATTTACGAATAAACAATATCTGTTCTGATGATAAATCTTAGATTTACTGTGTAAATTCACGATTTACGAAAGAAAAATTTTATTTTGATGGTAAATTCTTGACTTACATTGTAAATCCAGAATTTATGAATAACATAATCTATGTTCTAAAGGTAAATCCTAGATTTACTGTATGGTAAATCTTAGATTTACGAGCAGAATTAAAAATGTTTTATATAATAAAAAATTATTTTTTGATGGTAATTCTTAGATTTACAACTGACGATGATAGACAAAGAAGAGCATACCCATGAATGATAGACAGAGAAAGAAAAAAAAGGAGATTTAGAGAGAGTGAGAGAAAAAAAAAAGAGAGTAAAATTAAAAAATGAAAATACAAAATATAAAATGGTTATTAATTTCTATACATTGGTAAATTGATTGTTTATTATAAGTTTTAAATGTAGGATTATTTTTTTTATTGTTTATTAATATAAAATTTAAATGTAGTACTATTTTTTTCTTTGTAATTTTTGAAAGGTAAGATTATGCATGCAATTGGTTATAAATTATAATGCTGCTATAAAGCGATATTGGGGCTGTGGGGCAGAAGCAAAATTCCCAATCAAGGTGCCTGCATACTAATTCCAGAAAGATATTGGATAGCTTACTCTTTTTAGAGTTTTTATTTACCAAATGAATAATAGTAATTTGTGATAAATATTTTATATAGCATGATGCATATGCATACAAACAAAATTTATAAAACAAATTAAAATTCATTGCGTTGCGTACACTTTTTGTAACGTGACCAACAAATTTCAACAGTTGGAATTGTTTTCCATTGATTTAGGACTACTACAAAAGGGAAGGGGTGTTAGTATAATTTTTTCTAAAAAAAAAAATTTACATTACTCCTGCATAAAATTTAAACATGGATAAGAATTAAGATTAGCCCACTTGTAAAATAAATTAACACTCGGTGATTGATCTTCATTTATAATTTTTTTTTGAATGATTGTCCGTAAATTTTCTTAACCATTTGTGTTACTTCTTATCTTAATGCCACATAAATACTATCATTGTCAAGGAGTGCTTACCTATCATTGTCAAGGAGTTCTTATTTACACTATTTTTTTTTTTTTTTATAAATATATACATATATTAGTTAAACATTATGTGCTAAGCACGTGGTGAGTAATCCATGTGTTAAGTTTTAGTTATCGTGTTATTATAAAAGCATATAAAATCTAAATATAAAATTTTAGAAAAGAACAAAAATGGAAAGAAAAATAAAATTTTCGGGGCAAGATGCAAAAAAAAAAAGTAAAAAAGTAAAAAATGACTAAAATGAAGAAACAAATAAGTTTTAAGGCAAAAGGGACAACAATGAAAAAAATAAAGTTTTAAGTCAAAAAATAAAAAAAGGGTCAAAAAAACAAAAATAAATAAATAAATTTTAAGGCGAAAGAAACCAAAACGGAAAAAAATAAATTTCAGGACAAAAATTTAAAAAAAGGTTAGAAAAAGACTAAAGTGAAAAAATGAATAAGCTTTAGGACAAAAGGGATCAAAATGAAAAAAATAAAGTTTTAGGGTGAAAAAATAGGTTAAAGAAGGACCAAAATAAAGAAATAAATAAATTTTAAGACAAAAGGACCTAAAATAAAATTTCAAGACAAAGAAAAGTAAAAAAAAGGACTAAAGTCTAAAACGAAGAAATAAATATGTTCTAAGACAAAGGAAACCAAAACGAAAAAAAAACTTTAGGACAAAAATAAAAAAAAAGGGTAAGAAAAGGACCAAAATGAAAAATAAATAAGTTTTATGGCAAAAGAAACTAAAACGGAAAAAATAAATTTTTAAGAAGAAAAATAAAAAAATAAGGTAAAAAAGGATTAAAATAAAAAATAAATAATTTTTTTGACAAAAGAAACTAAAATAAAAAAGGACAAAAATAAAATAAAAAAGTAAAATAATATTAAAATGAATAAATAAATAAATTTTAGTGTAAAAAAAAAAAAAGAAGAGAGAACGTGAAAAAAAAAGGAGTGGGGAAAGAGACCACCTACACCCTACACAGAAGAAAAATGAATGTTGAAATTTATTGTATCTAATATAATTTTCTGAAACAACACACCGAACATCCGTTGTCGTCCAGCGGTTAGGATATCTGGCTTTCACCCAGGAGACCCGGGTTCGATTCCCGGCAACGGAACATATCTTATCATGTTTTTGACCTGCCAACTAAAAGTACAAATGGCAAATTATGATTGGAACAAAGATAACAGGCAGCGCATCATTACTCATTGGACAGCTTCCTGTCAACACTTCGACTAACACGTGGCGTATTATTATTAGAAAAAGAGTAAACAGAAATAGGCGCAAAGCAGCGAATCTGCTCCCATTCATCTCTTCCCTCCCCGTAGACTGAGAACCGATTGCGAGCAAAGCAAAACCCCCTCTCACTCTCCCACTCCCTTTCTCTATTTGTTTGCAGATTTTTTTTCCTTTTTTTTTTTGCGTGCTTTATTCTCCAAAACTCCGGTGAGTTTTCAATCTCTCTCTCTCTCTCTTACTGTTACACTTGCAAAATTCACAATCGCTATGGATCTAGAAAGTTCCTATGAAATTAAAGATGTTGAATATTGTATTCAATTTGTACTGTGTTAAAAATACGATTCGTTTGAGATTATATTTCGGTCATCGCATGAGAAATCTTGTTTGTTTAGTGATTAATAATCTGTTTTCAGGATAATTTACAAGTTCACTCTTGGGATTAAATTCGCTTCTCTAAGACTCTTATTCGATGTCTAATGAGGATAATTTGTCTCCTCACGCTCAGGTATTCATTTACATTTAACGTCTACTTCTTTTTTTTTTTTTTGTTTTTGTTTGAAGTTCTTTGTTCTGTTTGTTTTCGAAAAAAAAAAAACAAAACTTTTTTATGGGGCTCGCTTTTCAGCAATTACTTTTTTTTTTTTTTTTTTTACAATTATCTGTGTTTTTTTTTCAATAATTCATCTATTGTATTGTTACTTTTGGCTTTTGCCTGTGATTGCTCAATCCTTAATGACGGGGAGTATAAATTTGTTAATTACATTGTGTTATAGTTTGATGAAAAAATTTCTGAAGCTTTGGAATCACACAACTATGTGTTTGAGAACTTGGAATCACTCTTACACATGGGGCTTTAGTAATGACAACCATTGTTTTGGATGATGAGAGAATATTCATGATTAAAAATAGCATTATCTGGGTTAATCCTTTTTTAGCAAATAGATGAAAGAGACAAAATTATGAATTTGTTAATCATCCTGATAATTCTGCTTTCTTTGAAGAATGGATCTAATGCATATGAACCTAATCTAAAAGAATAGACAGTTCAGTTTTATTTTTCCCCGTTTGTGTACTTGATGAGAAAATGCTTTCATTTTGGCATAACTTTGTTGACACAATATTTGTCCTAATTGCTTCCAAGGGGTTGTCATTGCAGCTTTCGTCTCATTTTTTCGGGGATCTTCTTGACTCCATTATTGTTGATGTTGCATCCGAATGTCATCGGATAGCAAGGTTGGGCCTTGACCGTAACTTAGAAGAAGAGGAAGAAGAAATGAGGCTATCGGCCCAAGCACGGCTAAGGGTCGCTGATCCTAGTAATAGCAGTGAAGCAAATGGCAAGTACATTGTCGACATTTTTGGACAAAATCATCCTTCTGTAGCCAGTGAAATATTTGAGTGCATGAATTGCGGCCGATCTGTCATGGCTGGAAAATTTGCTCCTCATTTGGAAAAGTGCATGGGAAAGGTGATCCTTTTATTTTTTATTTTTTTATGTTTGTATGATAGATAACACCACGTTTGAATTCTCTTGTCGTGCAACATTTGTCAAAAGTTCAGACCTGGATTTGGAACTTTGAGCACTGTCTTTAATTCAGTTTGCTTGAATTCTCTTGACAACTGTTTTTCACTGCAGGGTAGGAAGGCTCGTCTGAAGGTGACAAGAAGCAGTACTGCTGCACAAAACCGGAATTCGCGAGGGAGCCCTGCTTCCGCATACTCCCCCTATTCGAATTCAACTAGCTCAAACCGCTTGTCGAATGGAACATCCAGTGTTGCAGGCGAGGAGTACTCAAATGGCGCATTTGAAGACCCTTGAAACAAATTAGATCACTGGCAGCAGAACACAAAGTTACATAGCTCTCCTTTTATTTGCGAGAGATTTAACTCTTGGGGTGCTTTTGTTGCTTTGGGCCATACGAGCATCATCTGATCTGAATAGGGATATTCTATCAGATTTAACCATGAAAACGATGACTCCTACAGGATATTCTTGCCAGCATCTTGAATGAAATTATGAATCTTATAAACATGTTTTGCTGAGCGAATCCCTAATTATCACAATGAAGTGTTAAATCTTGTGAGCTTCGATCTGCGCGTTCTAAGCTTCTGTGTTATTTTAATGTGGTAGCAATAGTAAAAGAGAAGAAAAAACTGGTGTAATATAGTTAGAAAGAAAAGTAGCAATAGGAAAAGGGTCATTCTTGCCTTTTTAAATGTTCACTCAACTATTAAATAGTGTAATAAGAAATAATCTCATTTCTTTTCTTATGTTTACTAAAATTAAGAATAGCAATATTATTATGAATGTAATTATTAAAATGTCATTTTACACAATTTGATAGTCCAATGATTATATAGTAATTCATTAAGAATAGATAAGTAAATTTATCATGTATTCTCTTTTTTAAGGAATTAATACTAGACAAGGTACAAAGATTGGCATTCATTTTATTATCTGGGCTTCGTTAAATCTTTATTATTAATTTTGTAAATAATCACATATTAATGATTCTCTCCTCACTCTCTTTCCTTTTCGTACCAAGTAAACATGCCCTTAATGGTTTAGTAGGCTATTACTAGTTACAACTAGGAAACCTCTTGCTCTGTTGTTTGTCTACAAACTACTAGCATAAATATAGGGAATAGAAACTGATCAAGGGGGAGATGTACGATTGGTGTATTTTTCGTAGCTGTTTTATTTTCCTAACTCGATTACTGATATCCTTGCTATGGGATTTGTCAATTGTTACTTTTTTCCGAAAAGATAAAGGCAGAAAATTAGTGGACTAGATTTTAGGCTCATAAGATGTAAGATAATTTTTTGGGAATTATATGCTGGTCTAGAAAGCTCAGGAATTGAAGTGCATAAATGTATTGGGAATAAAAATAATTCCGTTGCCCGGACTTAACCCGGTTGTCTTTCGGGTGAGAGCCGAATATCCTAACCAACTGGAGTACAACGGATGCCTGTTATTCGGGGACCTAAGGTAATAATTTATTGGAGAACGATATTCTAGAGAAAGAAATAAATCTATCAAGAGTGAATTAATCCAGTGTAGTTGCACCGGAAGAAAAAAAAAAAAAAAAACAAACGCACACCACCGCTAGTATGTGGCTGTTAGTGAAATCTTACAATATAACAACTCAAACTATAGTTATTTTATATTTTTAGCCATTATAATTAATAATTTAGTTTTTTTTTAATTCTTTTCCACTTCAACTATTAACTAAATAGTTAACTATTTTGACTAAAGTATTTTTCACTAACTAAATATAGCTAGTAAGAAGTGATTAGTTATTTGTTATTTGTATTATTATTTTATTCTTTACTTTCACATAAAGTAAAAGTTTTAAAAAAGTTATTTATATTTTAAACTCAAAAAAATATTAAAATAATTTATATTTAACTAAAATAGAGAGTATAATTAAAGTGACTCACTAAAAAATTGCTAACTAAAATAGTTTTTTAGCTATTTTAGTTAAAATTTAGCTAAAATTTAGAAAACTCCTTTGGAGATGCTTTTAGAGCAACTACAACCATACTAGTCATTGCATGTCTTTAGTTAAAATAGCTAATGATTTAGCTTTTATTTTTTAAAAAAAACTTTTTTTCACTCCAACTATTAGCTAAAGCATTTTCCACTAGTTAAATATAGCTAGCTAGTTATTCTTTATATTATTTTATACTTAGTTTTGACATAAGGTAAAAGTTAAAAAAAAAAGTTATTTATATTTTAAACTCAAGAAAATATTCAAATAATATATGTTTAACTAAAATAGAGAGTATAGTTGGAGTGACTTATTAAAAAGTTGTTAACTAAAATAACTTTTTAGTCATTTTAATTAGAATTTAACTAAAATTTAGAAAGCTTCATTAGAAATCCTCTTATAATTTTCAAGTGATAAGAGAGAATAAAACAACAAAAAAAAACTAATAAACGACAATAAGATAGTTAAACGATAGGAAAATTAATAATTAAGGAAACTATTAAAAAAACGATAGGAAAATTAATAATTAAGAAAACTATTAAAAAAAAGGAAACAGCAATAAAGAAAATGACATGAACGGCTGAACTTAAATGACAAGAAAAGAAAAACAAAATAAGAGGAAAGTGAAAAAAAAAAAAAAAAAAGACGACAACATACTGGTGAACAATAGTTAAGAAATGAGAAACATTTGTACCATTATTTTATTATCCTTTAATTTAATAATTCATTAGTGCTGCGTTGAAATTATTTCTCTAATCCCCTTTCTATAAAAGCACACTTCTCTTTGTATTACTACTAGGGCTAGTAAGGAGCAAGAATCAAGCATAATCTCAATAATGCAATATTAAACGCATATATACAAATCATATTTACAAACACCAAAACTGTTTAAAAAGCATATTTTTTCTCTGCTTCTCCAAAACTAGCTTCTCCAAAACCAGCTTCTCAAAAAGCTTTTATAGAATTAAATTAACAGCCAATATAGGTACAACTTTATACAAACCCTTCTTGGATGGAATATTATTTTCTGCTTAGTCAAAGAGCTCCCATTCCTGAGTTATTTTAGTAGAAGTTTGCAATGGTACTGTTGGGGAACACAAGCTTCCAAGACCAGACTCAAAAGTCTCCCATTTTGTCGTAACTGACACTGAATTGTTACTGTTGCTGAAGGGATTGGAATTTCTTGCCTTTAGGTTGTCAAGCGTGTCGACAAAGCTTTGGACACGACGCACCTGTGATGGAAAATTAACGTTGTGTCCTCATTTCAGTACATACTTTGAAATGACAAAAAGTTACATCCACTGCATGTCATTTAATTTGATAAAGAAAAGAAAAACATATAAGACTTATTTAGAACCCGATCTTACATAATTCTATTTTTTTTTTTTATAAAAATAGAAATGAAACATTTTTAATTTAAAATAAAAATTATTTTTAAAAATGCGTTTAATAATTTTATTGAGAGATTATTTTCAATATAAGAAAAAATTAAAATTCCGTTTAGTTATACATTTTTAAAAACATTTAATAGTATTTTAAATAATTTATTAAATAATTAATAAAATCCCAAAATCATTTATGAAAATAAGAGAGATGAGAAAATAATATAAATCTCAAATCCCAAATCAATAATATATTAAATAATACATTCTGTTGAAAAAAAGAGGGAGGAGAAAATAAAAATAAGAAAAATTGTTTAAAAAAAGGCCCCCATTTTACGCGTAATCAAAAAAGCGTTTTCATTTCTATTTTTTGTTCAGTCTTCCTCCAAAAGATATTTTGTGCTCATTTTTATTTTTTTCTCTTTGAAAAACGTGAAAATCATTTCAAGAAACATTTCTAAACACGAACATAATTTGTAACAATCGAATCTTCGTCAAATTCTTACAAAATTTTGTTAGGCAAGTGACTTAAATTGGTTTTGAAAAAATTACCATTTCGTGTTTTTTAATAAGTTATTGTTTTCTGTTTTTGAGTAAAGATTATTAGGAGTCTATAAGGGGATATTTGTTTCATGTATATGTCTTTGGTTCCGAATCATGGTTCATGGTTCTCTATAGTATTTTTCTCTCATAAAAAAATTAAATTTCAAAAATCAGAATAATGATTCTAAATTCATGAACCAAATGTTACCTAAATAAGTGGTTTGTGTAAAGTGAGAGAGAGAGAGAGAGAGAGAGAGAGAGAGAGAAATGAGGAGAGAGATAGGCAATGTTGTAAAGGGTTTTAGATAGAGAGAGAAAGTGAGAAAGTCTCTTGAATGTGTTAGTAAATTTTTCTCCTTCTTCTGTGGACATAGGAAATTTTTTCGAACTACCTAAATCTTTGTCTTCTCTATTTTTCTGTTATTTTTATTTCAATTTATTTTTCTTCTGCGTGGGTGTAGGGGTGTGTTTTTTCCTCAACAACTGATATCAGAGCTATGGTGAAGATTAAAAAAAAGTCAAGATAATGTACGGGATAAAGTTTGAGCAGATTGAGCGGTTTGTTGGAAAAAGTAATTTCAACATTTGACAGAGTATGGTGAAAGATGTTTTGATTCAGTAGTGATTACTGAAAGCGTTGCAAGGAAAGAAGCTAGAAAATATGAAAGATGAAGATTGGAAAGAATTAGAAGCGAAGGCGGTAAGCACTATTTGTTTAAGTTTGGCTCATGAATTGAAATATATTGTTATGAATGAAACATCTTCTTCTGAGTTATGGAAAAAATTAAAAAAGTTTATATGTCGTAATCCCTACCAAATAGATTATATTTGAAGAAGCAATTGTATGAGTTGAAGAAGAATGAGGAAACTCATGTTAGGGATCAAATAAATAATTTTAATAAGTGCATAACTCAATTGTTAAGTGTAAAGGTCAACATTGATGAGCAAGTGGTAATTTTGTTGGCCTCCCTAACCAAATCATATGAGACTCTGGTGAATACACTTTTAGTTGGAAACACAACGTTGACTGTGGATGAGGTGTTGACAGCTCTGTTAGAGACTGTAAATATGAAAAAGCCTAGGGTTAAGTCTCATAATGAACAAGTTTTAGTCATATAGTTAGATTCAAATAGGGGTAGGAGTAAGTCACAAGGGAGATATTATAATAAGAGAGATGATCATTCTTAATCCCATCCATGAAAGAATATTGAGTGTTTCTATTATCATAAAAAGGGGCATATTAGGAGAAATTGTGAAGAATTGACGAAACAGCTTGAAAAAAAAGAAAGCAAGAAACCCAAGAGACTTCAGATTATGCAAATGTTGTTGGCGACATGTATGACAGTGGAGATGATGTTTATTCTGTTACTGGTGATGAAAATATTTCTAACTCTTAGATTTTAGATTCTAGATGCCAGTTTCATATGTGCTCACAAAAAGAGTCGTTTGATTTCTATAAGCCTTGTGATGCCGGTATTTTATTGATGGCTAATGATTCTAGTGCTAAAGCTGCTAGAATATGTACGGTTAAGGTGGAGATGTTTGATAGAGTTGTGAGGACATTGAGAAATGCTCGGCATGTTCCTCAACTAAGGAGAAGTTTGATTTTTTGGGAGCTTTTGACACTTTGGGTTGTGAGTACTATGTGAAGGGTGGTGTTATGCAAGTCAAGAGAGGTGATTTAGTAGCCATGAAGGGTGAAAAAGTGAAAAATTTGTATAAATTGATCGGGACTACTGTTGTAGGTGGAGCTATGAAGGTGAAACCGAGCCACAAGAAATCTTCTTTTGTTGTGAAAGAAGTTACATGAGTAAAAAAGTGCAACAAGATGATAACAGTTGAAGATGATAAAGACAATATGGTGAAGACTTATAGCAGTGGAGATACTTTGAAGAAAATAAAGATAGTTTCTCGTCTCAAGTTTGATGAAAGTTTGAACTTGATACATGTTTATTATTGTTGAAGTTTGCATTGTCGGTGTGATGACGGATTTTGAGATTGGATACCCAAATCTGTGAGTTGAGAGAATTTGAGTCAAGGTGAAGATTGTTAGGTAAGTAACTCAAATTGGTTTTGAGAAAGTTACTATTTCATGTTTTTTGGTAAGTTACTGTTTTTTGTTTTTGGACAATGGTTATTAGGAGTCTATAAATAAGTGTTTTGTGTAAGACTTTGTGTGCTTAGAGAAAAGTGTAAAGACAAGAGAGAGAGAGAGAGAGAGAGAGAGAGAGAGAGAGAGAGAGAGAGAGAGAGAGAGAGACAATGGTGTAACGGATTTTAGGTAGAGAGAGAAAGTATGAAAATTTATTGAGTGTGTAATTTTGAAACTGTTAGTGATTTTTTTCCCTATTTCGAGGACATATGAAATTTTTTTGAACTACTTAAATCTTTATTTTATCTATTTTTCTGTTATTTTTATTTCAATTTATTTTTCAACTGTGTGGGTGTAAATGTTTATTTATCCAACAATTTTATATTTATTTAATTTGGTATAATTCACTGAAATTTTCATACCTTACCATAAAATTTTACGGAGTGAAAGCTCATGGTAGTACATACAATTTTACAGCTCATCACCCCGACAAATATCCTTTAATGAAATTTGAAAGTTGCCTTAACTTGTTTTGTACCATGGCAGATTGATTGTTCTTGTACTGCTTCAGTCATTGGATACCCATTGTTTAACCACTCAGTTATGCACATTTAAAATGAATATATCATATATGGTCCCTCTAGGCTACGTGTTTGGCCATAAAAAGGATCCATATTCTTCTCACCTTTTTCCTCGTAGTGGGAAAAAAAAAAAAAGAGAAAAAAACGACACCAAAGTTAGTCAAAGGATCTATCTAAATTCTAAGTGTACTTGCATTACGTTTCCTAGAAAACTTATCTCCCTGGTTCATCCTGTTCGGGATCCAAAATATAAATCAGATCTTTAGTCATTATGAGTAAATACTAAACAGTTTTCAGTTTTTGCTCACCAATTACTATGTGAAGGCCTTAAAATATTGAATACTATTCTTTCTAAGAGCCTATCCTGAATAGTCTACTCATAAACCAGTACTAATTATCTTCAAGATCACAAGTGTCATGTTCAAAACTCTCATGAAAAAATGTTTTGAGGAAAATAGACCAAAAGTAACAACTTAGGAGAAGTTCAATTGTCACCGACCTCGATCCGCCTCTGCGCTCTGGCTTCTCCTTCAGCCTCAATTGTGTCCAATTTGAGCAGCTGCATCATGAGCAACTCGGTCAAGACGACAAACTCCTTGTCTGCAAATCTAGTGCCACTGCGCATCATTGTCTCCAGAGTGACAACCTAAATATCACATTTTAACACTAATACATTAGACCATTTATTATTATGTACTGTTTGGGATGTCACAAGTGAGAGGATTATTGGTAATAGTGGAAAGTAAAGTTCCAACCTTTTGAGAGAGCTTGTCAACCTCTGCTCTTACTTGGGCTACGGCTTCATAAGCCTTCAATAGGCTTTGATTTTTCTTCATCTCCTCAAGCTTCTTCTCTTTGCTAGCCGGGTCTTCTAGTAAAATAATCTTGGACTTATCTTTCACACCAACCATGTCCAAACAATCCATGTCTTCTTTTTCTTTCCCTCTAAACAACAACCTTTGCTCTTTAGGCTGCAAACCGGTCTCATGGGCCAGAACCCTTTTCAGATCCCCTTTTATACAACAAAATTGAGCATTGATTTCAGATTGTGAAGTGATAATTTAGTCCAAATACCAACAACAAGAATTCTTGAAACCAAATATTGCTTGACTTCTTGTAAAAAAGGTCATGTAATAGGAAGAAGGGAACATAGATAACTATGGCAAGCAAGACTCAATCTATCAATACACACACATGGTGCATAGTTCATTAATGCTGAAACGCCTCTACATGGACCTTTTATGAAATCAGTAATTACTTCTACCATAATTTGGAACTTAGTGCTGGGCGGTTTGTACTCTACAATTCAAGATAAAGACAGGTGTGAATTTACTGTTAAGCTACGCCTCAATCTAACGTTTAATAATTTGCGAGATTAAAATGACCAAACTTACTTGAATTTTGCTAAATGGCCTGACCCAATTAGAATTTTCCATCAAGGAACAAAACCCAAAAGTGCAAAAGCGAAAAAAAAATTAAAAAAAAAAAAAAAAAAAAAAAAAAAAAAAAAAGAGTAAAGTACAAACACTATACACTATACTAGATAAGGCAATGCCCAGTAGTAAATTAGAGCCAACTATGAAAAGAAAGGTGATGAATTAGATGATATATAGTTATTATATTATTTACCGAAAGTGTAATGAGCAGGGACAGTGATGTCATGGTGATAAGAACCATGAGAAACCTTGATCTTGATCATAGGCCCAGAAGAGGCATCGCCAACATCTCTCTTTTGAACAAGCATACCGCCGGGCCTGAGCTCCCAATCTATGACCCTATTAAAGATGTTGCTCACAGTGTTACCTTTTGAAGTTGAATATAATTTTTTCATTCTGGATCAAGCAACCTGAGAGTAATAGTCACAAAAGAAGTAGAATGAGGAGAATGCAAGGAAAGGCTAATTGGGGTTGGTTGGGACTTGCGAATTAGAGGAGAGAGAGAGAGAGAGAGAGAGAGAGAGAGAGAGAGAGAGAGAGAGAGAGGGCTTCTTGAGTCAGACTCATCAACCAAAAGACACTTGAGGACATGGACTTGTCAACAGATCGCTTTAGTGCTTAGCGGTTGGTCTGTTACGACTGTGAAATACAGATGGTGAGTTTTCTTAGAGATAAAGAGACTTCAAAGCCACTTATGAGGTTCTCTCCTCAAATAACGTTAGTTGGGGAAATAATGTGAATTTTTTAGTTTGGGATTACAAATAGTATACAGAAGTATTTTATGATAAGATATGGAAAAAAAAAAAAAAACTTATTAAGACACGATTGCAATGTTTGAGATCATGTTATAATCATGCCAGATTAAAAAACATGTACAAAATTTGAAGATCATCTGATATGTTGTATTTCACCATAGAATTTTCAATTTTTAATTGCTGTTGTAATTTGTAGCAAAATGTCTTTTCATTTTTATTTTTTGATAAGTACACATAACATTATAATGTTAGTAAAAACATAGGATCCTTTTTAACTAGTACCATCATTCCCTCTCTCTCTCAAAAATAATAATAAAAAAAAAAAAAAAACCTATCACGAGTTTGGTCAATTAGTTTGATCAAAATTATATGGCAGTGAAGGTAATATAGGATGCAATAACTCGGCAAATGATAATCTTTCCCTTTCGAAAGAATTATTATTAAAGCAAACATTTAATTTACTTAGTCTGTACCAATTTTAGAAAATATTTAATATTGTATAAAGTACTGTAAAAAATTCTCAAATAAAAAAGTAGTGTACAGTTGTGTCATTTGATTTTATAACCTTTTTTTTTGGGATGATTTTATAATCTGCTTTAGGTTACTATTTAACATTTAGTTACAGGATTACAACGGTGACATTTCCTTCTTTGTTAAGAAATTTATAGAAAAATTAACTGCTTGAAAGATCTATATACTTGTTGATTATTAAAAGAAATAAAAAAGTGTATGTACTTGTCGGAAATGACCAATCACTAAAAGTTAAGGACGGCCATTAATTATAGCAAAATATCTTTAATGCAAAGAGAAGCTTTCAATTACAACTGGAAATAAAGAATGCAAAATAGAGAACTCTATTTCATGCTCTATTACTGATGCTAGTATAATTTTTTAACGGGTGTCATTCTTATTTTCTTAAACAAACTAATTTAATAACAAGTTATTTCTTTTACATTATTTACAAGACTGCCATTCCTTTTTCTTTGCTTCTAAATTTGCTGACTCTAGCAATAAAATAAAATAAAATAAAATCAGAAACTAATATTTCTAAAAACTCGTAAAACTGCTGTGGAGATGATGTAACCTCACACACTTCTTGTACATAGAGGTGTCAAATGGGCCGGGCCGTCCATGGACGGCCCGGCCTAGCCCGTAATAGTACCTAATTCGACACGGCCCGGTTCGTTATTGTTATGGGCCGTGCCGGCACGGCACGTGTAATAGATTAAGACTGGGCCTTAACTTCTCAGCCCACGGCCCAAGCACGTGGAGGCCAGCGGCATGGCCCTTATTCGGCCCGGCCCAAGCCTTGATTCGGCCCGGCCCAAGCCCGCGAAACGGCCCACAAAGAAGCCCATTTCATTTGGTCCAGTGGGCCCTTCGCGGGCCCAATGGAAATAAACCGAATTTCAACCCAAAAATCCCCTTTAAATACCCCTTAATTCCACCGTAAATCCCACACAACAATTCACTCTCATCTTCTCATCTCACTCTCATTCTATCTCTCAACTTGTCTCTTTGATTTTGATTCTAAGTTTTTTTCTCGCGTTCATTCATTTTCTAGCTCTTTCATTTACAAAGTTCAATCAAGTTCTATCAATTTTCAGAAAATGGCCTCACCAAACTTCCCTGATTTCACTGCTCTTCCTGAGCTTGATGAGGAGACATTTTTTGAGGAAGAAATGATGCCTTCCAACCCCACCCGAAATTGACACGAAAATTGTATACTTTTATTTAGTTTTTTACATATTAGAAATAACTTAAAATTCATAACATACTAAATTACAATAACATCCATTGAAATTAAACAAATAATAGTATAAGATTTTGAGTATAACTATCATGATATCACAAGTTCATAATAAAATTTAAAATATGAAATGAAAAATATATGTATTTTTTAGTTTTTTACGAGTTTTGTGTCGTGTTCGGGTTAGGCGGGTCCAACCCAAAATTGACCCGTATTTTTCGTGTCAATTTCAGGTCGACCCGATTCTGACCCGAACCCATTTTTTCTCAACCCTAACCCGTAAAATTCGTGTCGTTTTCGAGTCGTGTCGTCGTGTCGTGACCCATATTGCCGGCCCTACCCACCCCTACTGAACCAGAAAATGCTCTGGTGGATAATGCTTCAGTATACAACGAGGAAGTTGGAGAACACAGCAGAGGAAAAAGACCGCGAACTTCTCCGGCATGGCAGCATTTCACCGAGGAGCCCCGACCAAATCCAAAAACAGGTGAGATGGACATTCGTGCGGTATGTAAATATTGTAAAAAGCACTTTTCTAATAAAAAGGGTGGGGGTACTGGTCATCTGGATAGACATTGGAAAATATGTCTACCGCTGCACCAAGGTGGGAGTGTGGACTCCCGCCAACAAACACTATCACTCACATCACATGGGTTACAAAATTTTACATACGATGCACAACGTGCTCGTGAGGCACTAGCTAAATTTTTAGCTAGTGCCGAATTGCCTCTTTCTTTTGCAGATGATGCCTCCTTCGAAGAATTCATCCAAACAGCCTTTTGCCCACAATTTAAACGGGTAAGTAGAAACACAACTCGTTCTGATTGCATGAAAGTTTTTTATGCAATGAGACAATTTTTTGTTGATAATTTTAGGACATTTAATGCTACTTTGTCTTGCACTTCTGATCTGTGGGAGGGGTGTAATAAAACTGGATATTTATGTGTCACAGCGCACTACGTTGATGACGATTGGGTTTTACAAAAAAGAATAATTGGTTTTCGTTTATGTCCATATCCTCATAACGCAACAGCTATTTTTAGTACAATAATGTAAATTTTTGGGTTTTATGGGATAGAAGATAAAGTTTTAACAATTACTTTTGATAATGCGTCAGCTAATATAGCTGCAATTAATCTGTTTGAACGTAGTTTGAAACCGGCATTTGGCGGGGAAATTTTTCATCAACGGTGTGCATGTCACATAATTAATTTAGTAGTTCAGGCAGGAATTGAACATATCTCTGCTAATCTTACAAATATTAGAGAATCATTATCCTTCATATCTAGTTCTGGAGCTCGGCTCCAAGAATTCAAACAATATTGCAGGAACA